GCCCGGCCCCTTCTTGCGCCGCCCGCCGATGGGCGGCGCCGCCAGCGGCTGGCCCGCCTTGCCGTTGCGGGGCAGGTTGAGGCCCCCCGGGCCGTAGGGGTCGCCCGCGGGCGCGGACGCCTTCGGCGCGGCGAGCGCGCCCAAACCCCGGCCGCCGCCGTCGCCGTCGCCCTTGGACGAGTCGAAGGGGTCGTCGAAGTCGTCGCCGAAGGGCAGGTCGCCGCCCGGCGGCGCGGCGACGGGGTTGAGGTGCACGCCGCCCGCGTGCGCCTGCCCGCGATCCCCCCGGTCGCGGCCCGCGCGGCTCTTGGGCTTCGACGCGCCCCCGCCGTCGTCGTCGCCGCCGCCGCGGCCCGGCGGCGGGCCCGCGCCCGTGCGCTTGTCGCCGAGGCCCGCGGCGGCGAGGGACCCGCGGCTCGGCGGCGCGCCGGCCCTTTTCGGAGGGGCCGCGCCGTTCGCCGAGCCCGCGTTCTCGTCGTGGCGCGGCGTGCGCTCGCGCGCCATGTGGCGGCCGGCCTTGTCGCGGCGCTTCTGCTTCTGGGGGCGGCGCACCTCCGGCGCGCCCCACTTGGACAGGCCGCCGTCCTGCTTCTCCTCGCCGTGGCCGAAGTCGCGGCCGCGGCCTCGTCCGTGCTGCGCGTCGTCCGTGCCGCCGCCGAAGCCGTCGTCCTTCTCCTCCGCGCGGCCGCCGGCGACAAAGTCCGTGGCCAGCGGCGGCGTCGCCGCCGACGACGCCGGCAGCATGTGGCGCGAGTGCTTGTTGAAGCGGCCGAGGCGGTCCGGCGGGAGCAGCGAGGGGGGGTTGGGCTGCGCGTACGCGTCGGGCATGGGGCCCGGGGGCTCGCCGGCGCCCGACGGCGGGCTCCTCGGCCGCGCGCCCTGGCGCGAGTGGATCACGGGGATCTGCCAGTCCGCGGGCGTGTAGAGCTCCGTGCCGCCGCCGCCGGACGCCGCGCTCCCGACGCGCGAGCTCTTCGTCGCCGACGGCGCGCGCGAGCCGCCGCCGGAGGACGCCGCGTACTCGAGGCGGATGTCCTCGAAGTAGGGGTGGTCCAGGCACTCGCGCGAGTTGAAGCGGTCCCCCGGCTCCATCTGGAGCAGCGACTTGAGGAAGTTCAGCGACCGCTTCGAGAGCTTGCCGACGTACTTCTTCTGCAAGGTCTCCGGCCGCGACATGTCCGGGAACTTGAGTCCCACGAAGCGCGGGTTCCGCAGGAAGAGCTCGTCCTGCTCGGGCGTGAGAGGACCGAGCATGCGCTGGATGATGTAGAGCTGGTCGATCTCCGACTCGCCCGGGAAGAGCGGCTGGCCGTCCGCCAATTCGCCCATGATGCAGCCCATGGCGAAGATGTCCACGGACGTCTCGTAGGTCGTGGACCCGAGCAAGAGCTCCGGCGCGCGGTACCAGCGCGTCGCGACGTAGTCGCTCAGGTCGCCCGCGTTCGCCGCGAAAGTCCGCGCAAACCCGAAGTCGCAGAGCTTGAGCTGCTTCTCCCGCGTGTTGATCAGCAAATTTTCGGGCTTGATGTCGCGGTGGATCACGTTCTGCGAATGGCAGCAGTCGATGGCCTGGCAGAGCTGGAGCATGTAGCGCTGCATGCTGTCCGGCCCGACGCCGTTCGGGTTCGTCTCCAGGACCTCCAGCAGATTCTTCGCGACGAACTCGAAAACCAGATAAAGCTTGCCCTTGCGCCGGAAGGCCTCCTTGAGGCTCACGATGTTCGGGTGGCGCAGCATGCGCAGGATCTTCACCTCCCGGAGCGTCGTCTTGCGCACGTTCTCCTCGTCGTCCTCGCTCTCCTTGAACTTCTTGATGGCGACGGTCTCGCCGTTCTCCTTGTTGCGGCACTTGAGCACGATGCCGTAGGCGCCCTCGCCGACGACGCCCAGGACCTCGTACTTGTTCATGGCGCGGCGCGACCGCGGCGCGGCGGCGCGGCCGTCGAGCCTCCCTTTGCGGTCCGGCGCGGCGGCGGTGCCCGGCCGGCGCGCTGAATCCGCCGGCGGTGTCGGCCGGCGCCGCCGCGGCCGCCGCTGGCGCGGGCGGCGCGCGGGGCCCCGCCGACGACTCGGCACCGAGCAACGACCCCGGCGCCCCCAGCTATCGACCTCCCACGAGCAGCGCGGTTTCTTTTAATGGGATACCATTAGATTTGTGCATTGTTCAATGTTTTAGGGCTGCCTAGCATGGCCGCGTAAAAAAGAGGGGCCGCAACCGCGGAGAAACTTCACCGGCTGAGCGCCGGCGTGCAGCTCGCGTCGCCCTTCGAGGCGGAGCTGCGCGCGCGCGTCGGCGAGGGCCACGCGCAGCTCTTCCTGCGCGGCGTCATCGCGGGCTTGCAATGTTGCGTCACGTGCATCCTCGTGGGGGCCGACGTCGCCCGCACGCACACGACCGTGGTCGCCTTCTGCCAGCTCGTGTCCTCCGCGACGCTCGTGACCCAGTACCGCGAGGCGCGCAGGGCCCGCGTCTGCTTCCTGCTCCGCGGGCTGGCGAGCCTCGTCCGCGCCGTCGTCGTCGCGCACCTCGCGGCCTGCGGCCGGGAGGCGGAGTGGGCCCGGCCGGAGTCCTGGGACGGCTGCGACGCCGGGCCCTGGCGCGGCGACGACCCGCGCCTCGCGCTGCGCGCGATCCACGTCTTCGCGGCCGCGCGCCTCCTCGCCAACGGCTCGTCGCTCCTCGCGCAGCGCGCGACGCCCGGCGCCCGCGCCGCGACCTGCGGCCACCCGCAGCTGCGGTTGCGGTCGAGGATCCGGGCCACGGGCGTCCCGATCCACCTGCTCCGCGGCGCGCTCAAGCTCGCGCTGCTCCGCGGGACGCGCTACAACCGCGGCGACCTCGAGGTCGCCTGCAACTTCGCGCGCTTGCCGCTCATATGCACCGCCGCCTGGAGCCTCGACAGACAATTCCGATCATCGGGGACCGCCGCGGCCAGGTCCGGGCACGTCGAGCTCCCGAAGGCCGCCGTCGTCCCCGACTCGCGGGGGTCGGACGCGGGGACCTAGGCGCCTAGGAAGCGCACGATGGCCGCTTTAAAAGCACCCACTCGTGATTTTTACGCGATGTCGACGGGCGCGGGCGGGCCGGCCTGGACCTTGTCGAGGAAGGCCGCGTGGGCGCCGTCCCAGGCCGCCTGGACGCCCGCGGTCTTGGCGCCGCGCCGCACGCGGCCCGCGAGCGCCCGCGTGTCGCGCGGCGTCTCGGGCGCGAGGCCCGCCGGCGCCGCGTCCTTCCTGAAGAGCGTCGGCCACCACGCGACGACGTCGACGGCGAAGGACCGCTTCTTGAGGCAGAGCACGACGCACTTGGCGCCCGCCGGGAGCGGGGCCCGCGCGGGCTCGAGGACCCAGTCGAGCTCCTTGAGCGCGGCCGCCTCCGCGTCGTTGAGGCAGACCTTGAACGTCGGCCGGTCGTCGCCCTCGCACCAGACGTCGTGCGCGAGGAGGCCGCCAAGGCTCGCGCCCGGCGCCTCGAGGGAGAGCGCGCAGGCGCGGGCGTCGCCGTCGTAGGCGACGGTGAGCTTCACGTCCGCGCCTTTGGCGGCGCCGTCCACCCTGAAGCGGATCGCGACGTCGTCCGCGGTCTGGGCCCAGGCCACCGCGGGCGCGCTCGCGGCGTCGAGGATCAGGCCGCCGTCGAGCGTCGCGTCGGCGACGACCTCCCGCGACACGGGCGCGGGCGTCGGCGCGGCCGCGGCGGCCTCGGCCTTCCACTCCTCCTCCCGCTCGCGGAAGACGTCGTCCTCGATGTAGCGGTTGGGCTCGCCGTCGCTCTCCGAGTCGTCGAGATGGTCCCAGCGGCTGTAGTCGATGCCGCCCGCCGGCTTCGGTTTCGGCGCGGGCGCCGGCGTCGGCGCCGCGGACCAGCCGCCGCCGCCGATGGTGATCGTCGACGCGTTGTCGAGGCGCGTCACGACGGGCCGCGGCGGCCGCGCCGCGGCCTCCTCCGCCTCCTCGTCGTCGCCGATGCCGGCGAAGCGGTCGTAGTTCGTCAGGGCCGACATCGGCCGTGCTTTGGGTTGCGGGCGATGAGTTGTGCACGAGGGCTGGTCTCACCTCAATTTTGAGCCGGTGCGACACGGCTGTGTACTCGGAGCGGCGATGAGCGGCGCCTTGGTCTCACCTCGAGTTTGCACTGGTTGCGAGTTGCAGTCGATACTCTGCCATGTTGACGCTCGGCGTGACATCACTTGGTTGACTCCGAGCTGCCTCG